AGACCCTATGAGCGCTACTAGTGGCCTTTGCTTGCTTTACCCAACGACTGACCCAGGCCAGTGTCAGTGTACTGACAGTCTGACACCAGACATTTTTATACGCATATCATCGCAGCACATAACGCTAACTTCTAACTATACACTAACCGAAATAATCTTGGTTATATCTTGATTCTTGAGCTTACCTACTCATGTGATATCCGGTTAGTGTGAAACAGGAAACAAGTATACACACGCCCTCTCGCTAACCTTCTCTCCCCACACGTCGAATAGACTTCGCCCAGTGCCAGAGCTTACAGATGAGGACCATAAATAAAACCCACCTATCGTCACGCATTTCTTTCCCCCCAGCGATAGGCCCACGACATTAACCCGTGGCAATACCAGTCAGGCATCGCACGTGAGCTTTATGTATCGCTGTCACGCGCCGCCTTCACTCTGCTTCGTGACTTTCAAATGTTTGTTGAAGGTCGACTGCGCGGGCAATGCGCGTGGCTCACGTGAGGGTTGAACGTGACAGTGTGGTGTGGAGTGTGTCGGCGGCAGCAGCGGGGGAGACGGGGGAAAGGGGAAGGGGAAGCCACCTAGATGTATGCAATAATCACTGTGGGGCCACTGCTAATGGGTGCGTGCGTGTGCGTGCGTACAAGTATTTGCGTGAGCATGTACGTACAAAAGTGTGTGCGTGAGTGAGTGTGTGTGTGAGCGCAAGTCTTGGATTGCGCGTGCGCATATATTCATACGTGCGAGTGGCCGATTGTGTGTGAGAATGTGCATGCATAGGTAAGAATGTGAGCGCGCGCCATGCATGTGAAGGCATGTATGCATACATGAATGTATGTATGCGCATGCGTGCATTCATGTAACTGTGTGTGTGCATGCATGTATGCATGTGAATGTGTGTATGCACTATGCACGTGCGTGCATGCGTGTGAATGTGTATGATGTGAAATAAATGTGCGAGAGTTAACAAATTAACAAGCGGTTCTAAACTTGTCTCAATAAGAAGAATGGCCGACAACTAGCCAGCGACTACGAAGCATACTAACGTTGCATGAATTTCGCTTCCATCCTATCCGCCGGCACGAACGGCTGATGGAACTGAAACTGACTGGCGGCCATGTTGATAGATCTGATGGCAGAGGTTTCTGACTCCTAGATGATGCGTACGCCAACGCTACGACTTAATAACCTTTACTCAAAATTGGCGCACGGCAGCCAACTCTCTTCTCTTCCTATCTCCCTCTCTCGGTCTACGTTGGATTTTCACAGGCAGATTTACGAAAAACACGAGTGCAAGTACATGTATATATATACGTCTGAAGGCACCTGCACAGAGAGGCATATGCGGCCACGGTTATTTGTTGATGTCACTTGTACCGCTTCATGTTTAATGAAACATTCACAGCAGCACTGAGAGTAAGAGTGATGTTTTTCTCTGTATCCTGTAGTGCTTTGGTACTTTTCCTACGAATGGCACGGACAGTCAGAACGCTCATGTATAGACAAGTTTTGCCTAAGTGTGCACACACGCACGAATGAGCAAATGCTGAGAATTTACACAAACTTCCAACACATCTGTACACTGGTTACTGTGAAGCTATCAATCACAAGGCAAACAGGCACACGCCTCAGTTCTTCAGCTATAGAACCTGACCACATCGTAACCCCATCTTTGAGCAGAACAAAGCAGTGCAACTAATGACAGCTGCCAAATGTTGTTCCTCCACCACAAAATAAGTGACTCATCAGCTAAACAGCCTCCATGACCATGAAACAAAGTGATATTAATCCATGTTCACAACGGTCAAGTTGGCGTTGAGTTGGAGTCACACCCACATGTTTGTGCCCCACATGAGAGCAGAGATGTCCTTACGTGGTCCAGTGACAGTGCCTGGCTTTACTATGTCAGCGAAGCGACAAGGGCAACCTTTATAAATGTGGTGCAGAATCGGTTCAAATCAATCACAGAAAAAATACCCTGCTTTAATGTCAGATCACATCACGTAAAAATTACTTGTGTGTGCCTGCGTGTTCATGCACGTGTGCAAGTGTGAATGTGTGTATGTGAGTCTGTGTGTGTGTGTGTATATGTGTGCGTGCTAGTGCATGTGCGTCTGTATGTGTGCATGTGTGTGCGTGTGTGTGAAAGTCTGCAGATGTGCGTGCACGTGTGTGTCAGCCAATGTATGTATTTACTTAAATATTACTATTGGATAACAGAAAGGTCAGATGTGGATCAAGTAAACTTTTATCACGTGTAATCTTTAGCAAGGCATTTCACCAGCACATGTATGTGATTGCCAGTGCTACCTATCTATCGATGCTATCGACCTACAAAAACACGCACAAATCTCAGAACCCCTCAGAACCCCGATGAATCACGTGACTACTGCCGATTTGTAACTTATATATAGGCACTACCAGGTAGGGTTGGTCCACTGAACTATCTTCCAAGGCTACGGCGCATGTTATTCAACAAATATCCTCAGACACTTTTCTGGTAAGTTATTGATATATCTACACACGTATTGACGCATCGATAACTTGATGATATTTTTTGAGTGTTGAAAAATGAAAGACTGAAAATTTAAACATTCCAGGCCTGGTATTGTTCACACATGATCTTATTTACTGAAATGTACAATATGACGTCCATCATGAAGTATCGATGAATACATAACATACATTATATGCACAATGTGAATTTTACTTTGATGCGAGTGAGACTTCATGCTATTGAGAGAAAAAACATTAATACCATAAAATCATAAATATTTTCAAGATAAAATTACATCGCTAGAAGTCCAAATAAATAAGTATTGACTGCCATTGTGAACAGATACGAAGAAGATTACTATGGCGAGAGAAGAAATTGTTTTCCCCACATATCTCTAATGTACCCAAAAATCCAGATGACTCACTGGCAAACCGCCAACACATCACCACTAACAATGCACACACTACATATATACAGGGATAGGCGGGGTATATGTGTATGGTGGTACACACAATGCACGGTGGTAGGCGAAAGCACAACAGTACACATTTATATACACATAGCTGGGCTGTTCCATGTACTGTTTACTGTGTGCACATTATCATGTGTGTACAACTGAATGATGCGTGGCACCTACTACATACTCTACCTTGATCATCATAGATTTAAATGTATCACAAAATAATGTGCGTTTGTGAAAAAATGTGCAGCAGCTTTAATAGCCTTTATGTACGTAAAAACCATGAAACCAGTTCAGGGGTTATCATACAGTCAATGAGTCATGCCAACCACGAGATCAATTCACACGCCCTCACACAGTTTTACATGCAACACAAAGAATTTGCACATAGCCTACTAGTAGTAGCATTACTACTAGACACAATAATGTAACCCACCAAGAGTAGGTGGGTTACATTACCTCATAGTCTTCAAAAGTCCAAGGGACTATAACGAAGACGGAGAGAAAAGTTGATCAACTCGACAGATCAACACTGCGGATTGCAGTGGAAAAAACCGCCAATTTGAAATTTACTAAAGACGAAGGGAGAGAATTCCAATACAGAATGACAGAAACAAAGAAGCTAAATCTTTGGATCCTTAGAAGATGGTGCATGTCGAAAGCTCAGATGATCGAGTGTAATGAACAGGCTTCACCAAGCAAGAGGGAATGCCGTTCTTCACCTGCCCATGATAAATTTTATGGAAAGTTATGTTTAGCATGGAGAAAGCGGACACAAAGAGGAGGCCAATTAAGTTGAGCCAAAACAACATCAGCGCTATCACTATCACTATCATGATAGTTTTTGGATACCCATACCGCAGCTTTATGCTGCATGATGGATCTGTGAATGGCATCCAATTTTGAGCAGTTCTGAAGTAGTGTACATTATTGAATCTAGCAGTAGTAGCCTACTACTACTAGTACTACTACTACTACTAGTACGTAGGACGTACATAACTCTGCAGTGTATAAATAATTAGTGTACTCACACTTACCTGGTGGCTATCTCAGTCTCTTTGATATTGCGTGTTACTGTGTTACCTAAGTACTGTATTACCATTACGGCATTAGCGTCAACTTTTCGTTTTGACTTGATCAATGATTTATGATAAACACATAATACTACTAGTACTAGTAGTAGGTGGCTTATTGTGGTTTACTTTAGCTTAATATTTTGTCATCGCTGTTATAAGCAAAGTGTATGTTTCATTTTTCCTACGAACAACGTTTTTCAATATATATACACAGTACAAATACAAATGTTATTTATACAAACAATCACACGTTGCTATTTTTAGTATTTACCGTCGACGAATCTTTCTCAAACAAGTGAGCACTTCAAGATTCAAGATTCAATCAAATTATCAAGCACTTGACTTGTAATGTTTAAGTTTTTGTTAGGTTCATTAAATGTTTTAACGTTAGTTAGAGTAATCTTCTTAAACAAAATAGCATAAATACCTATAGTAACATATAATACTATTACTACTATATTTCGTGGTATATGTGTGAATTTATGTTTATTATATAGTAAGATATCCTAACACGCGATGGCGCTGTGCATCCATAGTAATCATAAGGTCATGTCAGTGGAAAGGTATGGAAAACAACATGACCGTTTTTAAGAATGGATTCAGAAGAACTCGACAGGTTAGTTAGGCTGGTATAGTTAGCACATTTGACACTTTAGTGCAATTTCTTTTTCTTTTAATCATTTTCTTTTAAACAGTTTAATACGACCTGGTTTGTGAACAGTGAAGTAAGTGTGAAGTACTTCCCCGTTACCGTGACGTGCCGTGTTGTAACTTGTAGATACAATATTACTTAGTCAATAATGTAACCCAAACACAGGATAGGGGGAGATCCTATTGTATAGATATACAACCAGAAGAGACGGGATACCAGAGAAGTATTGCCAAAAGGAGGTGTTGATCCTATAACCGCTGAGCGGAGATCTTGCGCGCAGTTCCGCGGCAAGGCGCACGCGACCGCGGCAACGTCCTAAGACAGTATGCAGCGCTGGCAGCTATGGATCCGTGCGCCGAATCCATAGGCCGGCGCACGGATCCATAGCTGCCAGCGAACAGTCGGCAATTTTAGCGGGGGACACGGAGGGCAGACATTTGTAATAGTGATAGGAAATAGTACGCGGATTGTGCACCCAGTTACCTCTTTCAAATCACACGCTGTTTAAGAATCGCCATTCGCTGCATTTCCCCGGAGCTCCGCCCACTTTAAAAATAGTGTTAGCATTGTGGCAGTGGTATCGTGAGTGTACGAACAAGTTAGTATTTTGATTTCCGATTTTCCATGACAGCAGTAAGGCGAAAGTGCAGCATTTCAATACAACTTACTTCATTACCATTATATATAGTATGTAATCATTTCCTGAGAGCTTCTTTTTATATATATAAACAATTAACACATTATCTGCCATCTCTATGATCTATGTGACCTTGCCTTATATCATATGCACCCCTAGTCCGCAAATGCAGACGTTATAACTCCGCTTTGCTAATGTGAGGGTGCGGGTTTATCATCACCCCCATTACTGCGGTCTGCGTCGACTCCGACTAATGCACCCCTACCACTACAATCTCTGACTGCCATTGTCATTGTCAGTATGAGGAACTAGGTAGAGTAAATTGCTTGCTATATAAGCAGGGGTTGTCTAGTATAGGGGTATTGTAACCCTAGCAATACCGTTTCTTGGAACATGGAACATGGAACATTTATATAAATGTAATAGCTATAATAAATATAAGGAGGGACAACGAATAGAAAACTGGACAGAAGACAACCACAGGTTATTGAAACCAGAGTTAGATTACGTACGGAAAATACTGGTGACTAGAAACACTAACATGTAGAGAACTAGAGGCGGCATTAATAATCTCCTTTTCCTTATATAAACCCCGCACCTCGTAGAATCGAGTGCCTTGTGAAATACAAGAGAGGGTACCAAGATACAAGAGACAAGATACGAGGGCGATACAATTGTATGCATGCAGACCTACGAATACTTTTATTACTTACTATTACTATTAGTATATATTAGTATTAGTACTATTATAGTAGTTATTATTATTTTATTAGTATTTATTAGTACTATTACTATTAGTATTACTATTACTACAAGTACATGTTAGCTATTAGTACTAGCACTACTGCCACTACTCACTAGTACTAGTACTACTACTAGTTACTACTACTACACTACTAGCTCCAAGAAACGGTATTGCTAGGGTTAGAATACCCTATATTGACGTTAGTCACACAGCCTGGTCGGGTTACTAGACTAAGTACTAGTAGTAGTAGTAGTACTAGTCTAGACTAAGTTAACTACTACTACTAGTACTAATACTATAGTCCTAGAGGTACTAGCTAGTACTACTAGTACTACTAGTAATACTATATAGTATAGTACTACAGCTATAGTACTACTATACTAGCTGCAAGAAACGGTATTTGCTAGAGTTAGAATACCTGTTTAAACACAATTTGTTTGTTTAGTCGAGTAACAGTAAACAACACCGACACAAGCATTCCAAATACGCATAGCGAGCTGTGGCGCTGGCGCGGAAAAATAATCGCCAATGCTGTGGATATAGCGTCGTTACGCCATCTATTGCCCGCGATATGTACTACACTGATGCACACTGATGTCCACTGATGTTGGAAAAAAAGTAAAAGTACGTTTTTGACAAGAAAGAAAGCGCGCCGACTAGCCAAAAATTTTGTACGAGCATTTGTAGGAACTACCTACATACCTGGGTACTGAAAGCCGTCGTGTAATGGCCAGAACTGCTGAACGCACCGATTACACGGCTTTGGCTTATACTAGGACCCGTTGAAGCTAATAGCTCCTGGAGAAAGGCAGCGAATACGTAAAAGATCGCCGCGAGGCGGCGTTTGCGCGCTTTGCGCGGATATCCAGGCTGCAGATCGTCTAGACAGAGGCCACTCACGAAATGCATACCTTCGCCAGCGACATACGCCATACGCCCCATGTATCATGTATGTGTTAGGAGCTGGCTGCTGCTGACTCGACGCGCTAATATCGATCGCGCGAACACACTACACGAGAGCGATCACATAACCTGCTGCAGCAAGTTCACTTGCACCGCCCATTTCGCCCAGTAATTGACGAACCCGCATCCTGCTATAGGCAATACAGATCGACGAGCGTACAGCGAGAGAGAGGGTCCGTCTAGCATTAGCATGACTCACCCGCGATGTCAACAAACGTAGTTGCGCAGCTTGTCTGCATGATAAACGTGCTGTAGCCAATCAGCGCAGTCACCAGCGATTGGGCGCAGCCGCCTTCTTCAATAGTAGCATCCGAAGGATCATTTCGCATGTATATTTGAGGAATTTCTGTGATTTGAGCGCATTCTGGCGGGCCGATTGTCAAAAATGGCGGGTGTAGCTTGTTCAAAACCTGCAGTGGCATCACCTGCAGGAACACCGGAGTTGTAACTGATTGAAAACGGTGAGTTGTGGTCCGTGCGGCGGCGAGTTAGGCACCATGTTAATATATATATAGTCAATGGCTGCGTGTGTGCTGTAGCTGCAGGTGCGGACTGGTTCTTGCTGCCAGTGGGTTTATTCTTAACACGAACCTTTCTCCGCTATCCTGGAACTTACTATGTATCCCAATGCTTTGTATTAAACTAGTATAATGTGTTACAAAAATTCGAAGCGACGAGCGGCTATTCTTCCAGCGCCATTTCTATTGACCTGTGACGTACGCATTCCCAATGCGCATAGCGTTCGGCTAACTTCGTCATGACGTCACGACTGACAGCAGGCATCCAATGATACATTCGATCTTGGAGTCGAAGTTAGTCGAACGCTATGCGCATTGGGAATGCGTACGTCACAGGTCAACAGAAATGGCGCTGGAAGAATCGCCACTCGTCGCTTCGAATTTTTGTAACACGTTATATTAGTTTAATACAGAGTACTGTGATACATAGTAAGTTTCAGGATAGCGGAGAAAGGTTCGTGTTGAGAATAAACCCAGTTTGGAAGTTATAGTCTTTGAAAACGCACCAGCAAACCGCCCTGAGTGATTCACTCAGGGGTTCCTCCACACAAAAGGATACGCTCGCGTTGTAACCCTATCCTGTGTTTGGGTTACATTATTGTATCTAGGGGAGATCCCTATCCTGTGTTTGGGTTATATTATTGTATCTAGGGGAGATCCCTATCTTGTGTTTTGGTTATATTATTGTATCTAGCCGTGTTGCAACCTAAGGCTCAGGCTCGGGCTCATGTCACAAGTATTCTTTAGTAAGTCACTAAGGCAGTTTAGTTAGTGAGTGAATTCGTTACACAGACACAGATTAATTATAAAATTGTCGTTTTTAATTATTGTTAATTTATATCCTGATATGTCTGTAGGTTGGCAAGGGAAGAGCTCGTAAATGAAGCAAAACGAGGAGCTGAGAGATACGACACATTGGGGCCGATTGGCTGGTAGGTCCATTATTTCAGTTATTTAAGGGATCCTTTACTCTAGATTCTAGGGTTATTTTCAGTTAATTTAGGTTAAAATTACGCTACATAAAAAGTTTCATGGTTCAATCACCATTAGAAATATATTTTTTTTAATGTTTTAAAACTAACGACTACAGTTTGATTACAACGACGGTGGCGCCACTCAAAGCGCACGATCTGAAAAGTTGCGCAAAACGACTTTTCAGCCAAGGGCTACAGACCGAGGGTGTTTCTTATTTATTAATTTAAAAGCAAAAGGATTGTAATATCTTATAAACGACGTATAGTTTCAGTTATATTATGGATAAATTTGTACTAAAATGAACATCGTTCGGTTAAATAGCATTTAGGTATAAATATAATTGCACCTTTGGGATTAGCCCTCGGTCTGTAACGTGCAAAATAAATTGTCAAATGCGCAACTTTTTCAGGGTGGCAGCACGGTCGCGGGTGTCAATGGCGCTGTTCAAATTTGGTAGCGTTGATGTATAATTAATTATAACAATTAAATTAGGTATCTGGTAACAAGTACGTGTGGGTATAGACGATTTGTTATACAGTAAGAACAGTTGTATGCATTAAATGCTAGAGTCTAGTATCCCTTTAAATACCATGATTATGTCTCTCCTCCTAGATTGGACTTGGAGTAACACTAACAATATCTGACCAGGCTCTACGACTGTTACCCGTTGTAGAAACGTTGTGAAAAACCAGAAGATAACTTTTGGCTACCTGGGACACAGTCATCTTTTTAACAATCTCATAATTTTTTGTAAAATCACCTGGATTTAACAACCAAATTCATTCAGGTAGGTAAGGAACACGCCATGTACAAATTATATGTGTACAGTGATTTATCCATTCATATTTCCAGGCAGAAGCCGCGGTCAACCAACAAGGTGTTTTTCAGCAGAACTCTGATGCAGGCTCTGCAAAGTCCTGCCGGATATCGCACCAAACGCACTCCCGCCGATCGCACGGAAGATAACACGGATGTAGACGGCAACCAGAGCGACCACGGCAGCAGCAACAACATTACGAGCGGGACCACCACATCTCACCACCATCGCACAGAAGCGAAAAACACGAAACGCCAGAAGACTCACTGAGAAAACCTTTTGAAACTCGAAACTTCACCGAAAACAACTTTCCTAGTGGCGAAACGCGAAGCTGACCTCTCGCAGACGACCCCTGACTTCTGACACGGTGTCTCACGCGAGAGCAGCTTCTGTCTGGAATCTTGCACTGGTACTACCGCTGCGTGCGTGGTCTCTTTGCTTCCGCCTCGAGCGCGCGCGATGGCGGGAACTGTGATACGCGTAAAGCGCAAGCGAAAGTCCGACCCCGTCGAGAAACTCGTCGTGTCGTCGAAGCGACGCCGCCCTGGCGACGACCTCGGCGACGACCCTGACCACGACGACGACGGGCGGCGGCAGCGCAGGACGACTGTGTTCCATCGCGTCGGCACGGTAACGGCGAGTGAGCAGCCTCTCTCGCGGCGCATCCGCGAGGCCCTGCAACACGGCGTCGTCTCGCCGGGACAGCTGAAGCTGCATCAGCCGCGCCCCCGCGACCTCGCACGCCGCGACGCCGACCTGCGTCGCCACGACGACCGCTACCAGCTGCTCGTCAGCCACCGCGGCATCCCGCTTGACGACGTTGCCAAGGCGACGCCCGACGACGCGGCGGCGCGGGACGCGGAGGCTGCAACGCAGCAGGAGGCCGAGCGCATCCTGTGTCTCTATGATGTCGTGCGCGACGGGATGCGGGACGACGACGTTGCCGTGACGACGCGCGGGAAGCAGGAGGCGATCGCGTGCAACGGCGTCGAGATGTCGCGGGAGCCGGTTGCCGCGGCGACACCCGATTACGTGTATGACCTGTACTGCACGGGCAGCGGGGACGCCCCCGACAACGACGACGACGACGATGACATCAGCATCGAGGCGTTTGACGAGAATTACGTGCAGCAGTATCCCGAGTGCGAAGCATCCGCCGACGACGACGACGACGATGATAGCAACGACGAGAACAACTGGCGTAATGACTACCCTGACTCAGACCCTGACGGCGGCAGCAGGGACGAGGATGAGGAGGATGAAGCCCTGCAGCTGTACGGTGACTACGCTGCTGCAGCATCCAGCGACGCGGTGCCCGTGGAAGACTTCGCGAGGTTCACCATGCAGCAAGAAGAGTCGGACGATGATGATGATGATGAGACTCCTGGCTGGGCCGTCTGTATCTGAGCGTGGCGCCCCCTGGCTGGGCCGTCTGTATCTGAGCGTGGCGCCCCCTGGCTGGGCTGTCTGTATCTGAGTGTGGCGCCCCCTGGCTGGGCCGTCTGTATCTGAGAGTTTACAGTTTGTGCCACTAGATGGCAGCCCATCCTTGTTATTTTACTGAGGATATTAATGAGCATGTGTATATGAAAATATAATGAACTCCGTGTGCTGAAACCTTTTCCTTTGGGATGTGTTTTTGGCAGGTAATCTACTGAGTGTTTGCAGGTTGCGTCATGCATGCGCATACTAGGTCTGTGGATACATGCTTGGGTACATGCGGTATGCATGCAAAGTAGTGACCTGTTGGCCTGGTCTTTTGATCTGTGATACGCCTGCCTGGTGCAATGTGGAGACTGATTCATCAATGCTGTCAGGAGCTGTGTGAAAGCTTACCGATCTGGTTACTGGCAACGGTGATATGCGTCAGGCCGGGTTGATTGCTAAGCCACCGTCCACGAATATTTGCAGCACTTGGATGTCTGTTGCTGAGTAACAATTCTATATTAATTATTATCTCTCGACCTTCGCCCACTGATCTGAAAATCTTCCACCTACGTATCAGTGGCCGGAAAGTCGGCAAGTTAGATGGTGGGGAGACAAAACAAATAGCAGTCAGAGGTAGTGATGTCACGATCATCGATTATACTCGATCATCGGTTGAACAGTGGCTCGAACCAAGCGCTTGGTTATCAAAATCCATAATCGATTTAATCGAAAACAAAACAAAAATTTGAACAAGAAAACTTGGAAAAGTGATGAGAATCAGTACATGTATTATACACACAGTAGTAAACAGTGCAAAACAAACAGTAAACAGGGCTAAACAAGCACATACATGCACACACGTACATGCACACGACGTTACGCACACGCAGGCATTCAACACCCCGAGTAACCGATTGTAACCGATCATCGGTTACTTGGGTCCAACCGATGATCGATTACGAAATTACAACCGATTGACAACACTAGTCAGAGGTCTGATGTACTCTGTCTGTGTAGTCTTCATTGCATTACGTGTGTAACGTGGCAAAATATACTCATTGGTTCTGTCTGAGATATCATCAGCGAGGAATCGGAATCAGACGAGTGAGATCAAACAGTTGCTCGACTATAGTGTGAGAGTGTGACTCTTAAACGCAAGTGAGATTTAACTCTTTACTTGCGGTTCATTTCACCGATGTTTTACAGGTTCTAAATCTCACACTGCGCCCGTGACTCTCACACGTCATGTTATATAATGCAGTGAGGGCTGAAGCAACCAGGCGTGGCCTTCTAGCAGGTTGAACTGTATTACAAGATTGATTGCACAATGCCTTGTTAGTCCTCCCCTGCAGCTAGGGATTACATACCAGCAGTGCTGGTGTTATTGACTGCTGTAGTGTGCTGAGGTTTAGTCTTTTGTAATGTTGAAATCTGCTACTATACGGTATGCACAAGTTATTTACATGGGTTACACTCTTTGCTCTTTTTCTTGTTTGCTCCATGGATTTTGTGCAATTAGTGACACCGAATATGAGTGTTATAAGAAGGGCCGGTGTTATAAGAAGGGCTCTTGTGTTGGATAAATTGTTCAGAGATTAGTTTATTATTGCCACCAGGGGCTAAAATTTGCGAACTCTAACCAGAGCACTTAAATCAAATAAAGATCTCAAGATCGAGATTTAAGTGCTCTGCTCTAACACTGCATCACAGAACGCCTTGCTTGATGCTGGCACATTACGCGTTCCTATATACATTGTGGTATATATCATGTGCGTGTGACAGAATCGTGTTGCGATTCCGTGTGCTGCCCCCTGGTGCTTCTAAATATTTCATTGATTGCAGGAAAGCGCTTGATAAGTGTAGCGCATGAATTAATGATAAGAGACTCAATGTTTAGGACAAAGGATGCGTACACTGTGCTTTCATTATTAATAGCGGGCCATAAATAAATCTCTCGCGAGCTTTTTAATAACTAAGCAAATGAGTCGCATTTCTTACCGTTACCAAGTAGACTGTTTATTGAACGTGTTTATGAGCATTCTTTGTGATACTTGTACGTAGATATTACACGCCATATTACGCAGTCAAACATTTAAACAACACCAGCTGTTCAGTCTCTAGAGACTAAGCATTTTGCTACGATGTGTTCACGCTTAAATGTTATAGATAATTTATTAATTTGGCACTGATCGCTTTAATTGTAGTCAGCTGTCTTATCCGTCTTTACGCATCAAGTGGGAATTTAATTTTCAATTGGAATTGTGTTCCGTGGTTCAACGCTTATAACGTTTATAATATAGACAACGTTAAATATAACTGATTTAATTTTATACAATTACTGTTGTTGTCAGCTTTTAATTAAAATTATAACTTAACTAGTCAGTTAAAAACTTTTTTGTCTGGATCAGCTCGTGTACAAGCTTCATTACGGAGCACTCGTGCACACGTTGTTTGCGTTGTAAATAATTAACGACGGGCTGGTCATTTCAGAGATTTGTTGGCAGTACAGTTTCCCTCGCTAGCGACCAAACAAGACAGTTCATGGAAACATGGTAAACAGCAAAGGTCCATTATAGATTACCGAAAACTTCATCATTAATTCGATACGATTTTTTTTACATAAAATGAACAATATCACGCGATATAGTTTATAGGGACCCAGCTATATATTCCGCAAACATCCGTTAGACAAGGTCATGGGCATGGCATCCGGTTGATGCGCTGCGTATTCGCTGTAGCAGATGCTTGCTGTGATTCAGAATAATAACACGTGTACAGGTGTTCATTAAAACGGAGAAAGGTGGATGCCGGTAGAACGCCTAGAGCTGCACGTACTAGCTGGCAGCTGCACGTGTCTATTATTCACTCGTGATATATCTACTATCTATGAACGCACGCACGCACGCACGCACGCACGCACGCACGCACGCATACCGTAACCGCACTCCGTAATAACTCGTCACACAGCAGCATGGCAGTAGATAGCTCCAAGAAACGGTATTGCTAGGGTTAGAATACGGTGTATTGACGTTAGTCACACAGCCTGGTCGGGTTAGGCATTAGATAGAGCTGCACTACTACTACACAGATAGAGGCTATACGTAGTAATATGTCGTAGAAGTAGTTACTGGAGATAGACACACGTACGTTTATAGAGGATAGCTGTAGGAGCAAACGACATGCAGGGAGAGGGGAGAAAAATCTAAATTAAAGGTCATGCACCTGCAGGCTGCATTCACACGCGAATCGAAATTCCATCCACGGTAGACGAACCCAAGATTTCCCGCAAATCTCAATTAAGCTGAGTTTACCGCATGAACCCCACGGCGCTTGCACACACGGTACAGGTGTGTGCAGTATAGTACTTACGGCACAGGTGTGCGTACAGTATAGTAGCCACGGCACAGGTGTATAGGATACGGTCAAGTAACGATCGCCCCGCCGATACCGTAGTGACGACTAAGGCGGATAAGTAAGAGGAAGGCGATGACGTAGATTGCCGCATCTATCCGGCCGTCGTTACGGACGCTCCCACGCAGCCTCCCTGCTGATGATGTCATACAATGCACCCGCACGCTCGCTTCACGATGCTTTAGGCACGCATGGTCACTAATTAGTAATTAGACACATATACACGCACGTACACAAACACCAACACAAGCCTTCGCGCACACACATACCCGCACATGCACACACATACATATAAGCACCAACACGCGCGCGCACGCACACGCACACGCACACGCACACGCACACGCACACGCACACGCACACGCACACGCACACGCACACGCACACGCACACGCACACGCACACGCACACGCACACGCACACGCACACACACACGCACACACACACACACACACACACATACCCGCACAAGCACAGAGCACATGCACGCACCATTGGGGCCGTAACTCTCGAGGGAGGGAGGGGGCAAGGAGGCCTTTGACCCCAAACCAATGTAAATAATGTCACTGAGGTTAATAGCCAACTGCCCTTAACTCCGCAAAACACAAAACGGACGTGGCTTTTGTCACAAGCAAAATGAATTAACTACGGCCCTGCACAAGCACACGCACACACTCACGCACGCACACACACTCACACTCACGCACACACACACGCGCACGCGCACGTTCGCTTGTTTGTTAAGCGGCTATATTTTACAGTGAGGGCGGAGGGGGGGGGTCGCGTGAAGCTGCCGGGGGGGGGGGAGTCGCGTGAAG